ATTTTTATATATGAATAGATGAATATTTTTTTTTTGTATATACGAATTCATGAATATTTTATTTCTGTATGAATCAATTCTTTTTGTATATGCGAATGGATAAATATATTTTTTTGTATATACGAATTCAGGAATATTTTATTTTTGTATGAATCAATTTTTTTGTATATGCGAATGCATGAATCATTTTTTTTTGTACAAAATGTGTAGGATGAATAATTATGAATGTGATTTTAAACAAATGAAGGAACATGATAAATTTTGTAAAGAAAATATATTTTATGTCCTTTTGGAGTTCACTATGTCCTTTTGTTGGTGCATGGTTTCATGGTTTCATGGATAGATATAGATTCCTATGGTCTTTTATGGCTCCCAGATTGCCCCTATTAAATAATAAGGACCTAGCTCATGACTTAGTCATAAGTAAGGATGTGCCCTCTCAATATAAGTAAGTCAATGTACTAGAAACAATCTGAGTGGTAGCTCAACAACTACCAAGTGAGCATAAAGCCCCTCAATAGTAGTTGTTAAGGCACCTTATACTCCTAGGCTCGCATAGGCTTGGGTATAAAGCCCGAATGTGTGTGAGGTAAGTGCTAGTGATGTGTGTGCATAGAGCATACAAGTCTTTACCCTATTAACTACCCATCTAATACAGACTAACAAATACCGAAAATGTACAAAAGTCATCTACCCTAAGATTCACAATATAGCAAGAGAAATAATAGTAACAAGATATTTAAAAAAATAAACTAAACAATAAATAAAATAAAAGGAATACACAAATGATGAGTGAAATAAAAAAAAAGATTAAAACTTTTACACACTTAATTAGAATAGATTTGACTCTAAAAAATGTCTCCAGTGGAGTCACCATCTGTTGCAACCGGGGTCACAACAGGACGGCGATGACAAGGAGTCGCCACCAAAGTTTATTAAAGAAAACATTGGAAAAAAATTTTGATAAAAAAAAAATCTTCGAAACTAAATTTGGGCTCGAAAGTCGCTTACGTGTAAGAAAGGTATTAGCACCCTACTACGTCCGTTGGTTAAAACAGTTGTCTTTTAATTAATTGTGCAAAATTTTATTTTAACTTTAAAAATATTTATTTCACTTTAAAAGAAACCAATTAATATTTCTTTTACTATTTTCAAATTTGTTACTACTATTATTTTTATATTTATTTCTAATTTTTACAATTTTTTTTTTAGATTTGAATGTTAATTTTTAAAATAAGGAAACACAATAAAAGTTATTTGAATTAAAGGAATGGGTTATTTGTAAAAATATTATTCTTTTTTTAATTTTTTGTATTAAAGAAATATATAGTAAAAAAAAGACTTATCTTAACACTTTATTTTTTGTTTTTTTATTTTTTTAAAATAAAATTAAATTTTAATTTTATTAAATTTTGTAAAGAAAATGTGCTAAAAATTAATCTTAGTTTAAAATTTTTTTAACAATATTTGAACCTGAAAAAAGTTTTTAAAAAAAATTGGACTTGATAGGTCAGGTTCTCGCTCCTACGTATCTTCCGTACGTAACGGAAGAATCAAAACTATCACGTAGTTCTTTTTCAAAAATTATGTTTGAATAAGTTTCAAAGATTTTATTTCTTTCTTTTTTTGTGAAAAACTTGATTTTTCTTTATTATTATCATTTTTAAGTAAATCCACTCCTGCACAGGATTCAAGTTAGCACACGGCTACTCAATAAACCCTTACGATCCAAGCAACGTTGAAGGTGGATCCTCCACTCTATCAAAATTACTTGGCCGTTGCGTGGATTCAAAAGACTCATTTTTTTAATAATGAAAAATTGATATACCTTTTAATATGAGATTTTTGCACGCAAAAAAAGAAACAAACGAGAGATATACAAAACAAATAAACAAATACAAGAGCAAAAAAAATGATGAGTAAATAACTCTCATTCAATTTAGGAAATAAGTTTTTTTTTAGGTTAGGATATGCAAAAAAATTAGGGGTTTTAGAATTTATGAAAAGAAAGAACTTTTAAGATTTGAAAAAAATTAAATTTTTATAATTTGCAAAATTGTTAAGGTTGAAAAAAATAGTTTGTTTTGGACCTTGCAAAAAATTGAATGATTTTGGGTTAGAAAAATAAATATTATTTTTAGGGTTTGCAAAAAAAAAGATAATTTAGAGATTAAAAAAAAAATAGTTTGTTTTTAGGGTTTGCAAAAAAGGTAATACTCAGAGTTAAAAAAAAATTAATTTTCATGGATTTAGATTTTATTTTTTAGGGTTTGACTGGGGGCTTTTAGGGTTAAAAGAACATTAGGGTTTTTAGGTTTACAGAAAAAAAAAAGAGGGTTTATCATTAAAAAAGGGTTGTTGAAGAAAAATTAGATTCTTTAGGATTTTGCAAAAGGAATAGTTTTTGGAGTAGAAATTTTTTTTTTAATTTTTTTTACAAAACGAACAAATATTTCATGTTAAAAAAAATTGAGATTTGCAGAAAGAAAAATTTTAGAGTTAAAAGGAAAATTAAAAATTTTGCTGGTTTATAAGAAAAGGAAAAGTTTTTAGGTTAGATAAACTAGGATTTGTAAAATGAAAAAACTTTAATACAGATGAAAGAAAAAACACATAAAGATATGATAAGTAAAAGAAAAAAAGAACAACAAAAGAAAAAGGAAATAGTAGTTCTTTACCGAATGATAAAGAGAAGTGAATTATATTTTTGTTGACTCATTTGTGATAACTCAGAGTTTTTGAATCGACTTTTCCTTCAACCTTCTCGATATGTTCTTTTCAATTGATCTCTAGGACTATGCTTTAATTCTCAATTGATTTCTTTTTAGCTCTTTCCTCTTTCCCTTTGTTTCTCAAGCTCTCTCTCTTGAATCTCCTCTTTCTCTTCGTTTTCTGAGCTTTCTCGCTCCAATTCTCTTTTTTTTTCTCTCTATGCTCTCAAAGTATCTCCGTAAAGGAAATAAAAGGTGTCCACCTCTAAAGTCCCCTTCTCTGAAGACCTAAGCTTCCTATTTATAAGCATTTTCTAAAACCCTAGATCCTAATAAAAGCTCCCTTATTTTCCGATGACCAATAATCAATTTTTTTTTCTTTTTTATCCATTTTCCTATAAATCTACTAACTACTTTGACCATTTCTAAATCTGATTTTACATTTAAAAATTGAAAATTTGAATTTAAATTTTATATTAGTTTTTTTTTATCTATTTTCTTAACCTCTTAAAAAAGAAATTATTATATTTAATTTTTTTGTTTTGAAATTTATTTTTGACAGGGACCGGGATAAAATTGGGTATTCACAAGGAATATTTAAACAACTTATTATTTGTCAAGTTAAATTTCAACCAACTAGACAATGCTTTACTAAAAAAGAGGACTAGAAGTCAGGGATAACAAGTCTATTCCAAATTTGCTTAGTAAACCAACAATCCCTGGAAACATGCATAAGAGATTCATCAGCCTCCCTACACTTGGAACAAATAAAAGAGTTAGCCAAATTACGATTACACCTCTCAATATTAGTAAGGAGGCTACCATGAGTAATTTTTCATAAGAGAAGTTGAATTTTAGGTGGGCCGTCCCAATCTAAAACAAAATTAAAAATGCTGGGAGCAGAGTTATCATGCATGGACAACATCTTGTAGGCAGATTTTATCGAGAAAAAACCATTACTAGAGTGCTTCCAAAAAAAAAAAAAAATCTTGGTCTCCAGACCATATAGGAGGATTGATGGAACAATGGGCTCACACACAGAATTAGGCAGCAAAGGTCTAACTCAATGCCAATTCCAGCTATCATGAGTAGGGAAAACAACCATCTGCTCACTCATATTAGAACTTTGGAGAGGCAACAGGGTATGGCTTCTAAGGTCTCGATAGTTAGGAACCTAATTATACATCCAAAACCTAATTGTCATCCCATCACCAACAATCCAGCCTAAACCTTTTCGAGAAAATATCCCACACAAACATCATATTCCTCCATAAGTGGAACTGAGTGATTACTGCTAGGACCAGTAGTATTCTTAATGGAAAATTTGTATTTTTTGTAGAGCACCTGAGCCCTCAAACTGTTAGGATAGGATATGAACCTCTAACACAATTTTATTATGAAGGTTTGATTAACAAGCCTCAAATCCCTGAAACCCAAACCCCCAATTTCCTTAGGTTTGCAAATTTTCTCCTAGCTAATTAAATGGTATTTCTTGTTTCCTAAAGATCCCCAAATAAACCTTTTACACAGAGAGTCAATCTTATTACAATAGACTTAGGAATAAGCATAGATTGCATAAAATAATTTGGAATACTCATGATACAGGATTAATTTAGCGTAATTCTACCAGCCATAGATAAGGAGTTCATCTTTCAATTTGAGAGTTTTTTTTTTAACTTTATCAATTATAAAGAAGAAATCTTTTCTAGTAGGGTCTAAATGGCTAATAGGAATGTCCAAGTATTTCCCAAAATTATGAGGGTGATTAATTGCTAGGCTGAGACTATTCTCCCTAGAAATCTCAAGGTCACAATTTTTAGAAAAGAAGACAAAGGACTTATCCCTATTAATGGAAAGACCAAATGCTGAACAAAAGTTATTCAAAATAGAATTAATGATAGCATAATTTTGCCTATCAACTTTAGCTACTAAGATTAAGTCATCAGCAAAAAATAAGTGAGATATATCAGAACCCAGGTTACTAAAGGGGAAAAGACTCCAGCTCTTATCATCAATTCTATCTTAAATTAAGTGAACAAGTCTTTCAATACAAAGGACAAAAATATAAGGGGATATAGGATCCCTTTGCCTAATACTCCTGCTAGGATGGAAACTGTCAGTTCTGTTATTATTCCAATTAATAGACATAGTTAGAGAGGAGATACAATGGTAAATAAACTCAACTAACTCATGGCTAAAGTACACAAAGAACCAAAGAACCAAAGATATACATGGGAAAGTACACGCCTATGTATATGAGTGTGTATTTCACTGGTTGCATGAATCAAGAACACAATGAAGCCAGAGATATACACGGGCAAGTATATGCCCGTGTATGTGAGCATGTATCGCACTGGTCGCGTCAATTGAAGTGTATCATCAAAACCAGAGATGTACACGGTCAAAGTACATGGCCGTGTACATGGGTGTGTACTTTTCATGAAAGCTGTGAAGCACAATTTTTAGAGACCAAAGATGTACACGGCCAAAGTACATGGGCGTGTACATGGGCGTGTACTTTTCAAGAAAGCTGTGAAGTGCAATTTTTAGAGACCAGAGATGTACACGGCCAAAGTATATGGCCCTGTACATGGGCGTGTACTTTTAACATGCGTTAGAATTTAAATTTTTGTGAGAAGATAAGCCATTGGGCTATTCATATAAAAGGAAATTTGGCACAGAAACCTAGGGGACAGTTTTGAGGTGAAGAAAGACTCAGAGACAGCTGGAGGATGGGATCAAACACTTTTATTCATCTCCTTTGTAATTTTAGTTTGAAGATGTTTAGGTTCTAATTTTCCTTTGAGTATCTAGACGTAATGAATCCTAATTGACCAAATTTTCTGGAATTCTTCTAATGCTATTTCATGTTCTTTTCTCTTGGCTTTAATTGAGTAGTATCAATTGTCTTTCATCTTGTTTTCTTGTTTGAATTTGAGTAAAATTCTTGCATGAAATTAAGATTGCTCAATTAAAAGGACTTGAATGTATTTCTAGAGATAGAAAGATGTAAGTTTTATGTATTAGGATTAACCCTAATTATGGAATTCATAATGAACTTAATGCAACCTAGGGCTATTAATTAAGGAAGAGATTTCGATTGATCAACTGAAGGTTAGGAATCATTATCCTTGAGAAAGGTATTGATTTAATTCAGAATTTTCTGCAGCGATAAGGGTTTAGAACTAAGTAGTTGAAGAAGAATTTTAGTTATTTAGACACTTAGGAGGATTTACAGTCTAGATACTCGCATTTTCCCCTTGAATACCTATAGTCATACTTTTCTATAATTTATTATCATAAGAAATTTGTTCCTTTTAATTTATTATTCTTCTATTTTTAGTAATTTTATCAACAAAAATTGATTTCTCATATTCATTAACAATTGTGTAATTAAGGAAGTAATTCTTAATAACAGTCCCTGTGGATACGACACTTGGTACTCTATTTTTCATAATATTACTCTGACAATGGATACACTTGCCCAGTAATCGGTTTTTACACACCAAGTTCCATTCAAAAATATTATTTTGAAAGGTAGATATGTTATTAACCCATGATCTGAAAATCAACCAAGAATTCTTAACTTGGGCAGAAAATTTTTTACGGAGATCCAAGGAGCAAGGAATTTAAAAGATTTATTGGTTAAATAAAAACCATCTTTATACCTAATCTTAAGCCAAAGCCCATCATGGTCTAATTTGAGCAATGTTATCAATAGCCAATGGCGGCTCATAGCAGAACCCAAAAAACTGTCATAAAGTTATGGCGGCCGCCATGGCAAGTTATGGCAGATATAATAAAATATATAAAAAAAAATACTATAGGTCACAAAAAATAATAAAAAATAATAAACTCAAAATATATGTAGTATAACCCATAATCCAAAGCATAATTCAATACAAAATATGCAATTACCAAATGTCAAGTTAATATTAAAAATAAAGATTATCAATTTAGTACTTTTTTTCAACTCCAATATAATCATCCTATTTGTCATCCACCAAGGCATATCCCTCCTTCTCTTCTCCCTCAGATTGTGGAAAATTAATTTGTAATTCATCTTCTGTTTCTTCCAACATCTCTTTATCTTCTAATTCTTTATCATCATCTTCAAGAACCATTTTCTCTTTTCCTTTTACTATTGAACATGTTGTGATCTTGAAAACTTTTGCAGCTTTGATAGTGATACCACTTGATGGACTCTTTCTTTTCTTAGAATGATGCCTAGTATATGTTGTAAGCTCTCCAATTCCAGAAGCTTCATAAACAGTTGCCCAATTTAAAGTGTTATCACTATAAAAAAAAAAACTAAGTCAATTGCAGCATTCTCATATTGAGCATCATCATCCATTTCTCCAACCAACTACTCATTACACTCATCAATGTCATTGAGTATAATTGGATCAATTACATCTTGAAGATTATAACGTTCTATGAGTTGTTAGTTGTATTTCACATAAATCAAGTCATGTTATTTTTTGTGATCAAGCCTATTTCTCTTCTTTGAATGAATCTGCAACGTGAATTTAATTAAAAGAATATTAATTAGTTTCTTTCTAATTTCTAGAAAAAATAGTAGGCTCGAGAGATAAGAAATTACTTGCTCAAAAACACTCCAATTGTGTTCACATCTGGATACACTACATGTCAAGCTTAAAATTTTGATAGCTAGTTGTTGCAAATGTAGAGTTGAATGTCCATACATTCTCTACTATTGAGCTATAAAATGAAAGATAAATTATAACTCTAAAGATGAATTATAACCTTGAAATTAAAATGTTGAAGATTTTGATGAATTCCGAGGAGCGGTTCTTTTTCTTTGTGATTTTGCAAAGTCGAACTCAAAGAGACTACCATCACTTTTATAAATTGATAATTCAAGTAGTATACTTTGTTGCATATTCTGACTTGGCACCAACCTCTTGATACAATCATACAACCCATTTGTAAATTTCAAATCAAATTCTATTTAAGGGTTGTCATAATAGAATTTTGGGTTTAAAATGTGACTAGCTGCATGTAATGGACGATGAAGCTGACAAGTCCATCTATTATCAATGATTGCAAACATATCTTTGTATTTACTTTCATTAGTTTTGAATGACTTCATAATAGCTTCTTTACTTTTCTTCATTGCTTCATAAATATACCTCATGACTGGTCTTCTTTCCCTATCAACCAAATGTAACACCCAGACAAAAGGAGTCATGATTTTCAAAGTATATACCAAATTATTCCAAAATACAGGATATAATAGAATTTTTGTTACTTGTTTCCCTTTAACTTCCTTTGGCAACTTGTTTTTACACCACTCCTCAGAAGTAAACATCTTTCTAAGATTTGCTTTTTCTTGGTGAAGCCTTTCTAATGATAGAAAAGAAGTTGCAAATCAAGTAACTGCATGTCTCACCAATTTTCTTTTGTTTGTAAAATTTTTCAACAAACTCAAGGTACTTGAATGACTGTAGATAAAGCCAACAACCAATATTTCCCTTTGAATTATCTTCTTTATCAAGGGAAGTTTTCCAATATCTTCAAGCATAACATCTATGCAATGAGCTGCACAAGGAGTCCAATAAAGATGTTGTCTTTTTGCTTCCAAGATCTTACCAACCAAGACATAATTACTTCCATTATCTGTTATCACTTGTACAACTTTATCTTTTCCAATCTCCTCTACAAAAACATTAAGCATCTCAAATAATTTTTCACCAGTCTTCACAAAATTAAATCCATCAATAGACCTCATAAACATAGTCCTAGCAGGAGAGTTGACCAAGTTAATTCAGCATCTTTGCTTTTGATCAATCCATGCATCTAACATGATGGAACAGTCATGTTTGCTCTATTGCTCCTTATGATCTTTCATGAAAGAGTCGGTATATTCTAGCTCTTTCTTAAGAAGTGAAACTTGAATATCATGACAACTTGGAGCTAGTAAATTTGGACCGAAAGCACTAATAGTTGTAAGCATTTCTTGAAAGCTCTTCATTTTAATGAGGTTAAAGGAAAGGTCAGCATGATACCAAAATCGAGCTATGTATTGATGGACCTTTACTTTGGCTTCTTTGTCACAAACTTCTCTTATATTTGCTTGTCTCAATTTTAGCTTTTTTCTTTTCTCAATTGTACTTTTTGGCTTTCTACAAAATAAATCCATTGGCCCTTTCTAATTACCCATGGCAATACTATATGTTTGGGTATCCTCCTCATCCTCACTTTCATCATAGCTTATACTTTCAAAGCTTCTTACATTTGGCATCTCAAAGTTATTTTGACTCTTTTTATCCTTTTGATATGCTTCAATCTCTTTTCTAACTTCTTCAGGACACTTAGGGAAAGCTTTCACGTTACCTTTCTTTCCAATCAAATGTTGTTTCACTCTAGTGATTCCAGCACTCATAACTTTTTCACAAAAATTACATACAATGTTGTTTATATCACCCTCTTTCAATGAATGAGCATATTTCCATCTCGAGTCAGATCGATTAGAAGTTCTTGATGATGAAGATTCTTGTTGAGCGGCTTGAGCCATGTTAAGAAAAGCTGAAATAAAGATATATATTTTTTTAGGAAAAATAGAGAAAAAAACAAACATGTGAAAGAGAAAAAATTGAAAGATGGAAAGGGTAAAATTAAAATAAGGAAAATAAAGAAAAAACTGCAAGAAAGGGGGAAAAACAAGAAAAAAATGGCTACCAAAAAATATGGGATTGCTAGAGATGGAGGACCAGTCGCTGGAAATGGAGGTTAAGGTTGCCAAAAAATGACGAGTACTTCGTTGGAGAAGACAAAGAGACAAACAGAGATAAGAGGGATTGGAGACGAACAGAGATGAGAGGGAAGAGAGAGATTTGAGATGAGTGCTTCGTTGGAGAAGATAGAGAGACAAACAGAGATGAGAGTGATTGGAGAAGAACAGAGATGAGAGGAATTATAGAAAAGAGAGATTTGAGATGAGGGAGTAGGGTTTTGAGGGACGAAGAAGAGGACTTACCTAAGTTTTCTGCATAGGTCACCCTTGGACCGGGTTGAGTTTGGACCCAAATCACCGAATCCGCCATTTTTGAAGGTTTTCTGCCATGGCTGCCATTATCGCCATACATGTAACAGCCGCCATGGCGCTGCCACGTAAAACGGCCATATAACGGAAGTGGTTTAATGGGGGGCTTCAAAACTGCCATGGCGATCAGCCATAGCACCGCCATTTTTTCCATTCAACAACACTAGATTTGAGTAAGGGAAGATGGATAAGGTAGCTATTGGAACAACAGTCTCCAAGAGTCATTAATAACTACTCTAAGCCACAAGTATCTAGACAATTTGCAAATTGTTGGATAAGGCTCAAATTAGTTGGTCTACCCCCA